GCTACTAAATAATAAGTGATTCGCCGAGCTAATTTCAAAGAACTGCAAACCGTTGTAAGGCCACGGGAACGGCACGGGCTTCATTTCCGCGCCACGTCTACCTAATTGTGCTTGTATTTGACGTCATTTGAGAAAACAAAACAAGAAGGAAAGGCTTTAAGCCGAAAAGATGATTTTTGCCCTGGTTCTCACACCTATGCCTAGGAAGGAGTTGCTTTGGAGGAAACAATTCCTTCCTCGATATATAAGGGCGGACCAATGCAGGAAGGGTAAAAAATGAGATGCGTAATGTTGGGTAGTTTTGCGGAAGTCCGGAGATTTACCAAGTGTCCTCAAAGGTGAACTACAGGCGCTGGCGACTTGACAGGGGAACTTCGCACTTCCACTAGGTGGTTTTTGTTAGTACACTAACAGGACTCAAGTTGCTCAAACCTGCGAATTCCTATAGAGCTTGAGTGAGCCGCTCTTGTCACAGGAATTGACAGTCCTTCGCAAGGTTCTTGTACAACCTTAGCTGAGTACCATTCGGTGCGCCTACAAAGCCGAACCGCGCAATCTAGTCGACTTTTCAGCTGCTAACAGAAGCAATGCACCTACGTATTCTCCACCATTTCCAATTTCATCCGTTCCTTCCCCATCCAAGCGTTTGTAATGATATTTCACGGTTTATTGGCGATAGCTCCTGCCTGAGAAGCAACAGAATGCTACGTGAATCGCTGATGTTGGTGTACCTCTCAATTCAAGAGGGGTGGCGCCAAGGTTTTCTGTAGTGATACCTACAGGCCCTAGCATGTCTCAGCTATAGTTATATGTCGCTTTTAACACTCGACAGTCTACGAAGGATGGGCGCAGTTCAGCGATTGGGGTGGGAACATTTTGCACTCCTGCTCCTTCACCAATTCCCGTTTAGAAGTCTCACTCTGGAAAAACCTCAGTTACTCTTCAAAAGAATTGACAGATGGTCTCTGTAAACTTTGACTGGTACTATTTCACGGCTTCACAAGATTTCAAGGTCTTCACCTGATGGCTCGACATGTCGATGGGAAGCAGCAAAGTGCAAAAACCCCCGCCCCTTCTCGTCGCCGAACTGCGTCAAAGGATGCGCTGTTGGGTCTGGTAACAATGCAGGGTCATTGTAAGAAACATTTCAGAGAAAACTCTTGAGATCTTTCAGTTCGTTCCTAAAGACTAACCTGAAAGTGTTGCCGGATTGATGGTGTTGTAGAAATACTTGACATTCTTAATGACTCTATATGCATAGTCCATGGTTACAAGTAGATTATGATTTCAAATATCTAGTACATTTAGGGGTGAATAAGATTGAGGCAGATGATGAGTAGAAGAACGTTGAGCCGTCACCGTTTACCAGCTGCGAATAATATCAACAATACCTGAAAGTACGAGGAATGAGCACTGCGATTCGGTTTAGGGGCGGGGACGTCAACGAACAGCAGTGGAAACGAGCGCACGCACATCGAGCGATTCTGACCACATTGGAAAAAACAAAACTCGACGAAATATATGTCATGTTGCGAAATCTCGCCAAATATTGCGGAAACGTAATTGCTTCTACAAAATAAGTGGTGGAAATCAAATGAACACAAAACCTTGGCAATGCCTTCTTCAAAAATAGGCAATGAGAACTCGACTAGTACAATTTCACTGGTTAGCTTTCGCGGCGATACCAGCTGCGGATTGACTTCATTTGAGCCTCATAAGTCCTCAAATAAAGTCAATCCGCAGCTGAAAATCTTCACAACAATCAAATACACGCCCTGGGTTCAAAAATGGTGACTTGTGTGACTCAAATACGAATGAGAAGATGGCAAATAAAAAAGCGAAGAAAAAACACTAAAGCCCGGCCGAAGTTCCCTTACAGGGCCCTATGCTGATGAGTGCTTGTACATGCATAAGGCGAAGAAAGTGCGTGATCAGAGTCCAGCGACGGGGGGGAGGAGGGGAGGGAAGTATTTTGCAGTTTCAATGCTTTCCTGGTTCTGGTTTACAAATCTCACGCCGGTGAAATCTGTCACTTCCTGTAAACTCATGAAATAGCCTATGAAAAAATTTCACCATGAGTTTACAAAATTTGACAGGCACTCTTTACAAGAGTTGAGAGGTGGTCCCGACAACTTTGGATGGTATGTTTCGTGGCTTCACAAGATTTCACAGGTCTCCATTTACTGGCTCGACACGTCGATGGTAAGTAGCAAAAGTGCAAATCCCCCCACCCCCCCCCCCCCCCCCCCC